CATTCATTTGTAATTATATATTTTAGCTAATTAGTTATTTCCGAGACCTAAATCGTTGAAACGACTATTTCAAACTTCTCTATTGTATATATAGAAGTTTTAAGGGGATTTGTTTTTGTAAATATTCCAATGGATACAAGTACATCGCATTGAATTCAGAAAAAAGTGACTATTAGTGGTACTATTTAAACGTCAGAGTTTAAAAAAATAAACGGTAGCTAAAACCGAACTGATTTAAATGCCTCTAGCACGGAGGGTATTTCGGTATAACTCAAAGAATTGGGGTTTTCGACCGGAAGCCTTAGGTTGATATTTTGAAAAACTGCTAAGGGCGTAAGTATTTTACCGTTGGGCACTGACAATGCGAGTCGGACGGCAATCGTGGCCTATATAAAAAGCGAGATCGATATAGCGCCAACTGGCACTGTGCACGGTCGGTCCTTTTATTGCCATTAACATACCGTTACAGTTTATCAAGATACCGTGGCTTATACTTATCGTTATTATTATTATTTTTCATCTGCGGTCTTGTCTTGAGTGGTCGACGAGACCTATTTCCATTCACCGAGTACATTGTTGTGTTCGAATAAAATATAAGACAGAGAAAACGTACAGAGCAGTTTTACAAGAAGTTGCATGCAATGTTACATGAAATATACATCAGCTGTGGTGGGATGGCAAAAGTCTATACAACACTTTTGTCAATTTGTCGATTTGTACCAAAAAATAGATATTACACAAAGTGGCAAAACATAGTGCGTCTGGGTGCTTTCATTATGGTAGCTAAATAATACAGAAGCTAATACTTAGTAATACGTTTAGTCGAAAAACTTAAATTGTGTTTTTCCGAAAGTTGAAAAGAGTGACTTACTAACAGCGCCCGCCTTACCGCGGATATGTAATCTAATAATTTAAAGTTCTTCGATACTTTGGTTAGCTGGAATTATAATTTGTTTGCATTTTATAACAAACATCCCAAATGTATCATTCTTTATGAGTGTCATTAGCGTTTTATTGCGTTTTAGAGATTTGCAATTATCAAAATATACCTCGCTATTTATTTAAAATAATAATTACCGATTTATTTCAAACAAACAACGGAGGGCGCAATGTGTAGGCAATTTTAATGCGTTCGAGTGTAGTTACAAAAAAACGTTTTTGCAGCGTAGTTGTAATTAATTAACAACGTAGTTTATGATAATCACAAGCAAATTATTATTGCTAAGTAAAGTTACTCTAGATAAAAATAATTTTTAATAGGCAATAGCTTACATAATTTGTCGTTCCTTGTTTTAAATTAATTTTTTTAACATTAAACTACCATCACTGATGTTACTAGAAAACATGTTAATATACTTATATATAATATCAATCATAATATAATATAAGGAATATATTTAAATAAAGGTGGTTTTTCTCATATAATTAAAAATACAACGGCCAAGTTATATAAGAATATATTATATTACACTAAAATCTAATGATTCGTGTGTAACTAATTTTCTTGTAAAGTAATTAACATTAAAACCGTGAGTTTTTGATGAACATTTTTTCAACAAATCGAGTGACTGTAAAACATCAGAATGCTAAAATTAGGCATTTTAAAAATTCAGAAAAAATATAACTACAATTTAATTAATGTGAGGACAGGTAACTATTATACATACTTCTTGGCTTAATAAAAAATAAACGGTTATCGGGTTAAATAATACTGCAATTATTTGTCTACCACATTTGAAATATCTAGTTTAAAAACCAGGTAAAATCAATTTTTGAAAAATTTCACAAGCAATAAATGATTTCTTCGATGGGCGATTTTTAAACCAACCAAGATTTTCACAGTTTGAGTTAGTTTTAATATTTTTTTATGTTCAATAAAAGTTTTACATACCATGTAATACAGTGTGGCCACTTTTTCAAAATGTCTTTTAGCTGGTTTTGAAAGTGACGCTTTATTTTCCTTATACGTTGTAAAGACAGTAAACTAAAATACTTATACTGTAACATAGTACTAACTGTATACACAGTCTATGTACTAATAAAGTTGCTATTGACGCAAGCCCTCATATTTTTTACTATAAATTCATATTATGTATTAACGCAACGCGGAAAAGGTCAATTAATAACGGTTTTTCCGGAAGCGGCAGAGCACGCAAAGAGAGCGATATCCCCTATGCATTAGGCCGATAACAGATAACAGTGCCAGTAACCACAGAATAGACGAAAGCAGAAGGGTAACTTTGAATGTAAACAAAAAGTACTATATCTAGTACTTTTTAGTACTATATCTATACACAACAAATAATAATAATGTGTAGGTATAACATTATGCGTTACTATACAGTCTTAAGAAGACAGCCGCCGCGTTTTTGTGTGATAAGTATCTTGCCCGAGGTAATTTTTATCAGTGTTCGTGGAGCATTGTCACGGTGGTGGCCGTTGGTGGACCAAAAGTGTGCGAGAATTATTCTAGCCGTTTATTAATAATTGCATGTGTGCTTAATATACATTTCGGCGACCGCGGGCCGGCAACGTGGCGACTGGCTACTCTCCCTTTCGACTGTGGCGGCGCCGACGGAGGAGGTGGTATCGACTCAAAGTTGGTTAGTGGGACGGGTTTATGACGTCATAACCGTGACTCTGGTGGTGACGACATCGCATACCGCGACGGCGAACCTGCACGACCGTCCATCGATCGCGGTCGGCTTTTTCCCGGGTCCGCCGCTGCCGTGTCCGTTCAACCCCTCCCAAAGGCTTCTTCTTTACACCGCCCCGTGTCTATTGTATATCTTCTTTGGCGATGTAAGTCGCCGGCTGTACCCTTTCACGTTACAAAGTACAACGTATTAATAACGTGTAGCCGCGGTAGTGTACTCACAATGCGGTAAGTGTCTTACCGCAGATCAGATAAAACCAGATACACGGTGCGCATCTTGGTCATTTACTGATAACCGAAACCCTCCTCCATTAATGTGTGACCACATTCTAGAAATTAAATTATTGTACATAACCATTATATTACATATTTTTTTATTATCAGAAAATATATTTACAATCTATACAGTAAAATATACACTATAAGCAAATGTGATGAAAATATTATATGCATGACATTGAAATGTATATTATATATAACCCTCCACAGCAAAGGCCATTGGGTTACATTTTATTATAATTAATGTTGTCAACTCATTTTTATGTATATAGATATCGGCGATGGCAATCTATAAATTCAACGATGCTCAGTTCTGAAACTATAATTTCTCATAAAGAATTTTTTTTCTACCAGTGGTTACACTGAGTTGAGGAGGGTTTTTGTTCTGTTTCCGTTTTCAGCCATTACAATACTTTAATAGAGATGGTACTTTTTAGGGTTATCTAATTTGTGGTATTACTACGGTTTTAAAAGAAATTCTACTTGAAAAAACAATTGAGTTAAACTTAACATATCATAGTTGACGAAATTGGTAAAATTGTATTACTCGACTAATAACAAACACGTTTTTTTTATACTTACTCGAATTAGTTGTATGACAATATAAAAAAAGTATACATAGTAGTAATTTAATTACCATCATACCAATGTTTAACTTTCGCAGTTTCCCCTAGATAACGATTTAAATGATAACATATACATTTGTCAGCGTCTGACTATTTTATGTGGTCATACCATCTAAAAAGTATACAAAAAAAATATATATAAAAGTGGTTTGTATACTAACCACCTTCCCTAAAAGAGTTAAGAGGACGCTACTCACTCATTTAGTGAGGAGTAAAATATAATATGCAATTTTTTGTAAAATTTTAATTTAGAGTTTTAACTATAGTGCATACTTATTTATGCAGAAATGATAATTCTTTATCGATTGTTATTTTTATTTTGCCAGACTACCACAATCATTTCCATAAACGAAATTACAATTATTTTTCATAATAATAGATTTGGCCAAATCATAACCAAAGTTTCTTGTATTTTTGTAAAACCACCAACTTTCCACAGTAACCAGAGGAAAACATTATCTGTGCTTAAGCGTTTTAAAATTTTCGATTACTGAATTCACTTTTGGAATTATGTTTTAAAATGATAATATTTTATAATCGAATGTTTACACGGCAATGGTGTGTTGCGTGGTCTAATATAGGGCTTGCTAAATAAAGTAAACTGTGAAATTATTTTATGGACACTTATTATTTATTAGAATGTTTTCTAATATACTTAGAATTTAACCGTAGGTCTAAAATAATACCGCATACACGTGTTGAACAAAACAAACTAATAAAAGTCTATATAAACGACATTTAATGACTAAGTAGATTAAGATGGGCATAAAAACTAAATCGCAAAAGGTCTTATCTAGATTATAGTATGAGACGTGCTCGTAAGGATGAAATTAAAATGACATTTATTTGTACTGTCAAACTATCATAATTATAAGGTGGATAAATAGTATAGTAAAACAATATGAAGTCACCTTTTAATTCGCTAATTAAGTAATATGTAAGCCATTTATGTTAACCAACGGTAGTTATATCTAAATAACTATTATTCCCTAACCTACTCTCAAATTAATAACTTATTCAGAGTTTAAGCAGAAGAAGAGGTGGGGTGTCAATCAGCACAAAACCTTCTGTTACAACTCTAAAATGCTCGTATAAGTAATTCAAAGAATGGTGCTTGTATAAAGATATATATATAAAGATATGATATCAAACAGAATTAATCTCTCCTGTCTTAAATGGAAACAACATTTTATAGTCACTATTTATTTTGTAGAGGTGATTTTTTAAAACTTTTAGAATTGGCTAAACTCAACTATTATTTTTATACAACATAATATAATATTTTGAGTAATTTCGAGACATTAAGTTATAATTTATGATTAACCAATGTTTTATTATAAGATAACTTTAAGTGTTTTCCTGCGTTTTATAGTTGATTTTTAAAAGATATAAAATGAATAATTATTAACGGTGTCCGTTTTGGTTTTTGTTGACAACAGGTTGGCGGCGGAGAAGGAAGTCGCGGCGGCCGCGGGACGTGACTGCACCGGGTCGGCGGGTACTACCGCCGGCATGGGGAGACCACGATCCCACCATCATCACCACCATCACCACCATCAGCAGGCGGACGCGCCCCCAGGACCGTCGTCCTTGTTCCTGTTCAGCACTGACAACCCTGTTCGTCGGTATACCAGATTCATCATCGAATGGCCATATCCTTTTGTGACACTTAATATATATTATATTATCAATAGGAACAATTATTAATATAGGTTTTACTCTAGTATTTTGGGTCTTAAGACTTTGGCGACAATATAAATTATTACGTCTAGCACATACCCAATGCTATAATAAAAAATCATCGATATAAAAAAAAGTATTAAATTACCCCTTAATTCAATTATTGTGCACTCCGTTCGAGTATGCAGTGCTGTTAACCATCATAGCCAACTGCGTGGTGTTGGCTCTGGAGGAACATCTGCCCAGGGGAGACAAGACTGTACTCGCTAAGACTTTGGTAAATCATCATACACGATCGACGACGTATTAATGTACCTACATTATACTACATTGAACATTGGGTAATTGGTTAATTTTCAGGAGGCAACTGAACTCATTTTCCTAGCGATTTTTTGCGTCGAAGCGACTCTCAAAATATTAGCATTAGGTTTTTTACTGCACAGCGGCTCATATCTTCGTAATATATGGAACATTATGGACTTTTTTGTAGTTGTAACAGGGTGAGTACAATACTCAATAACACGTCTCGCTTCTATCACGATTAATTTTATTTTTACATAATAATGACATAATGAATGTTTCGCTTAATAACGAAACAGACGTTTTAATAATAAAAAAAAATAGACACGAAATCTAAGAAAGACAAAAAAAAAATTAAAAAAATTAGTTAGAACAAAACTTGTGTAGCTGAAACCGGACAGGGCGATAAGCATTTGGACTCAGGGGTTTACCGATTTTTAGGTCAATGACTGAATTCATGGAGTCCAACATGCTGGACATGAGGATGTTGAGGTCCTTTCGGGTACTCAGGCCTTTGAAACTGGTTTCGAGAATTCCAAGTAAGGCACTCGAAATGTCTCAGGAATATACAGGAAAGCATTTTTGAAAAGAAAATCCTCGAATGTTCTTTTATATTATTCAGTAAAAACCATTTGTTTAACCCGTTTTAGTAGGCGTATATTTGCATTTGGTTTAGATATATTTTTATTCCGAGTATCGGATTAGACCGTATATATATATACCGTTGGTTTGCCAATATTTTGTTGTATACAATATATGTTTACATAAATATAGATATAGATATATATTATTTATTTATATATATATATATATATATATTTATTTATATAAATAAATATATATAAATATATTATATTGATAAAATATATATTATCATATTCGTTATTATCATTATATACTACAACTATATGTATATGTTCTTTTGGATTTGTTGCTGGATGATAGAAATTCCCGAGTAGAACTATATCGTTGATAATATTATATATACAGTTGATCGATTTGTAGTTGGATATTATTGTTCGGCTTGATTCGAACAGATGATAATATCAAAACAATTAAAACAGTATTCATTATATATACATTATTTGTTTATTTTTATTTAGATCAGATTAGGCATTTTTTAGACAACTAGATAGAAATTACCGGGTCTATATATTATTATTATTATATTATATTGTTATATTATGTTAAATATTTGTATAAAGCTGTTTAAACGATTATTATATTTTTGTTTTTTATCGATACAATTTTTTATTACATATATACGGTTAATATATTTACTTCGACATAAAACATATTATACAATCATTTTTTTTTAGAAATCTGCACGTCGTTGACTTGAGCGAGTCGACCGTAGATAATAATCGTACAATAATTATCGTAGATTATATTAATTTTTTGAGTCGTATATTAATTTTATAATTGTTGACTATTTGTTTTTATTTTCGGTATACCGCTATAAAGATTTAATCATTACAATAACCATATTGATTATATGATATTAGGACAATTGACATAATATACATTATACAGTAGCTATATGACAATGTTGACGAACCATATTACTATTATTATAATTATTACCATCATAGTTTGGTCTAGAGGGACAGCTACGCTGGTCGAGTTTAGAGAAACAACCCTTCATAATAATATAGTTTAACATATTGTTAAAGAGGGGCGCCAGCAATGAGTTTTATGACCGCTTGCTTCGTCAGCCGTTAGATTTTACAAATTACCACCGCCGTAGCAAAATATTGGTTCCCCTGCAAACCCTTCGACCTGTGCAAACCAATAACATTAGACATATTTTACACACAACAATAATAATAATAATAATATTATAGCTTCACCGAATTTGGAGTAAATATTTTGTTTCATTAGATTACCCGACCTAGATCATCCTCCCAGTTTTATATTTGTATGGTATTACATGTTATGTACATTTCAATCCGTAGATTTCGGTGTCTCAAATAGAGATATACTCTAGTCTCGCTAGAAAACGGTACAACGCAGAAACCGAAACTCACTTACTCTCGTGTGCACCTGCGCAGACAGGAGTGACGCGGTTTGGTTTCTGCGCAGTACCGTTCTCCCGTGAGACACAGTATAGTTTGGCTGATTTTGATCGTACTCCCTTCTGTATTTAAACATCACGGGATTATAGAGCTTATGTTTACCGCAAACATATTAGGACTATATTCCTAATATATTGTTTGTTGTTTATAACGATAACCGCGCACTACCAAAAAAAAAAAACAATAAATAATAATAATAATAATAATACTAATAAACAACAGATAGACACGTCCAAACATTGTTTAAATAATATAGACGCCTAGTATTAGATGAATAGAGCGGATTGCGTGTTTATTTTGGGGTAGGTAGCGCACTGAGTAGTGATTAGAAGTGTTGTTGCCACAGATGTATAACACAAATACCGTCAGCGGCAAACATGGATCTGCGAACGCTGAGAGCGATCCGGGTATTGAGGCCGCTCAAACTGGTCTCCGGCATTCCAAGTGAGTACAAGTTTTGGGGAACGGCACGTCGACGACCAAAAAGGAAAGGGTTCGTTGGGGGGAGGGGGCACCTCCCCCGACCCTCCCGACGAGGGCAGTCCACCGACAAGGGTTGCCGACCCGTTGACACGCGGTTGGCGACGCTGGTTCGCCGCGTGCCGCAACGGATGACTTGACCAGAGGATCGCCTTCCCAGTGTGCCAGGTGTAACGCCCGTTTTTTTTGTTTACTTCCCCGCAGGTTTGCAGGTCGTGCTGAAGTCCATCATCAAGGCCATGGCACCGCTGCTCCAGATCGGCTTGTTGGTGTTGTTCGCCATCATCATATTCGCCATCATCGGACTGGAGTTTTACTCCGGAGCGTTGCACAAAACTTGCTACAGGTACGCAAAACCTGCGCCCGTGGTTGAGGGTCATGAGTGTAAATAGCCTGAATGATCTGCGGAGAGGTGATGTGGATGGGATGGTACGGTAAGGGGAAATCGATAATCCCTGGTTAACTGATAAGAAATGATTGTTAAGCAAATCCTGTAAATCAAAATTGGATAATGCTAAAAGACATTTTCGTTCTAACGTTTTTTCCTACAGAAGGAAAAAAAATGTTCGTTTTGTTTGCTTGTGTCGTCATTAGTCGGCTCTCAAACTTCATCCAGGTCTGTTCAATACAAAACATTATGAATGTGAGACCTATAGACCAACCGTTATAGATAGACAAGAAAAATATAGGATAGCTTCCTTATATGCTTCCCACGCTTACGAAATTCATTGACAGAAAGATAACCAATAACATTTTTAGTATTAAAATAGCAATTTTCTTAATTTCATTTTAGTAGGAATAAAAAATAATAGCTATTATTCTTCTCAGTACACTATCTAGAAAAGGAATCATCCCTTCATTATCCTCTCAGATTACGCCCGTGACAATACAGAATACAGGGGGGCACAATTAAAGACTAGATGCGGGAGAGGGAATTATGAAAACTCCCAGAACCGTTTGGTAGAATTATGATCTATCGGTTTATTATTGACCCTATAGGCTGGACGATCTGATTGCGATCGAGCCCGAGGGCGAGGGATCTAACCCGACGCCTTGCAATTCAGACTCGGACTCGATCGAAAGCACGAAGCCGTTCAACGCATTCTTCTGTCCAAGTGAATCGTCTACGTGCATTGAAAACTGGGAAGGTCCTAACTATGGGATCACGTCGTTCGATAACATCGGACTGGCTATGCTTACCGTGTTCCAATGCATTACCATGGAAGGGTGGACGACCATTTTATATTGGGTAAGTATAACATACTAGTCGGCTGATTACAAACGATTAAAAACATTGTGTGTGTTTATTATTTTTTTTTCATCATAACGGTGCTATTTTGTGTGTTTTTCAGATGAACGACGCGTACGGCGTGCTGTTCAATTGGATATATTTTGTACCACTAATTATTCTAGGTTCATTTTTTATGCTCAATTTAGTTCTCGGTGTACTTAGCGGGTAAGTTTCGTTTTACTTTAAGTGCGATAATTATTATCTTTTAGAGCTACAAATCTAATATTATATTTTAATTTATAACAAAAAAAAAAAAAATCATACCTCCCTATGCTATCCATCAATTCGATAATGTGTTATTTTATATTATGGGATTCGTATTGAGACGTCCGGTTCGGTTCATATCATAATGTTATACGATTTCCAGAGAGTTCTCAAACGAGAGAACCCGCGTAGAACGGCAGGCTATGTACTACAAGATGCGCACGAAAAAAAAATACAACGATATGTTTAATACTTATATAAACTGGATTACGGCCGCAGGTATATCATATCATATAGTGACCTATAAGTGTTGCAAGAGTACGCATACCACACGAATGTCCGATTAGAATATAAAAGAGAACCGAACCCTATCGTTTAGTTTTCATATACTAATAATTATTGTGTACCAACCACGACCGTTAATCCAATATTTATACTATCCTGTGTCGTCTTATACATATTGCTGACTAGTTAAAAGAATACAAATTAAAAAATTGACTGTTGTCACGCCTATTGTAATAGGTATAGCTAACCCGTATATATAATAATTGATAAAAACAAATACCGCGTGTGAACTTGTAGTATCGATATTGTAATGTTGAACCTTGTGCACTATTATGGCTTTGTAGAGAATTCGCTAAAGAAAGAGAAAAAGTCGAAAACCGGCAAACGTTCCTGAAGCTTCGGCGGCAACAACAGCTAGAACGCGAGCTCAACGGATATGTTGAGTGGATATGCAAGGCCGGTAAGTGGTCGGCTTAAATCCTCTACCATAATAATAGTAACCCTTACTGCCCGCCTAGACCTTGCTGTAATTTTTTGTCTGCAAATAAGAATAATAATAATTGTTATTAACCTTGTAAATCGATTACAGCAAATGTGTGTCTTGCTATTGCGTTTGGTCTGACATAAATACATTTAATATAACTTTTGCTATTGCAGAGGAAGTGATTCTGGCCGAAGAGCGGACCACCGACGAAGAGAGAAGACACATAATAGAAGGTACAGCAAACAATGATATTGACATAGACGTGGACATTGTCGTCGCCGATTGTTTATATCCTATTATCGTGACATGGTATTTTTTTTTTAAATTTAGCGAGGAGAAGAGCTGACATAAAGAGAAAAAAACTGAAAACCTTGGGCAAGAGTAAAAGTACCGAGTCCGAGGAGGAATGCGAGGAAGAAGAAGCCGACGAAGGTAAGCGCTATAATTGGTCTTGTTTTCATTTTATTTGGCCTATACGTTTGAATTTCGGGAACGAACTCATTGACACGTCCTCAATTTGTACCCACACTGTAATTCACCATAGAAATGTGCAATTATATTATCTGTTTCAGTGTTTGGTAAAGGCAAAAAAGGTACGGTTATAAAATGATTTTACGTTAGATGATATAAAATAGTAACGAGTGAATTCACGTAGACCGTTTTGAGAAGTTTTTAACTATTAGAAAAAAAATATGAACTTAAAAAAAATGTATACGAGAAAGAGAATCGTTTTGCATGTCAGAGGTGTGTGCGCGTAAAATAGTGGACAGTAAATCAGTACGTAGAAAGTAGACCAAACCCGCGGTGTAATAATAATATGCGAAAAATATATGTTTTTAAAAACAAGTGTAGATAACGCGAATTTAGTAGCAAAAACAATTAATAGAGAAAAAACCTGTACATATATATATATAATATATTATTTGTAAGAAAAAATTAAATTCTACATAATATGTACTATTCGGTGTTGTTTGCTCTATAAACACATAATAATACAATGTTGGTTGTTGGAATATTATATAAGTCGATGTTGGTAGAATAAACCGGCGTCTAAGACCGTATGCACGGTGTAGTTGATAACCTAGTTAGATACATCCATATTGTTTTTGATGTCGCAGGCTTTCCTCGAACGCCCACGTTCAAAGACCGAATGAGGAAAAAAGGCGTTTGCGCTTCCATGTGGAGAGCCGAAAAACGATTTAGGTTTTGGGTCAGACACATGGTCAAAGCACAATGGTTCTATTGGTTCGTCATCGTTTTGGTTTTTTTCAACACGGTGTTCGTGGCCATTGAACATTACAGACAGCCGGATTACCTGACGAACTTCGTCTGTAAGTTAATGGAAAATTATAAAATACCCGTATTTGGCATCATAGACAAAAACTTATACCATTAATTAATTTAAATAAAAAACTAGTATGTGTTTTTTAATTATTAACCACACGGTCAATGTATTACATTAATCATCAAGTTTCAAAATTCGAATAGCATAAATTATTATTACATTTTTAATCATTTAATCAACGCATGATATAATTTTGGTTATTTCAAACAAGATGTATCGTTAAGTAAATTCACACCACATTCACCGTGTACACGAACACAATAATGTAATTTGTTATTCAATTATTATAAAACTGAAACATTTGACTAAACAGCGACAGCATAATGTGGTTTTCACAATGGTCAATGAATAACATTAATAAAATATTATTGAATTTGGCAATTGAATCGATTATAAGTAATGACATTTGATCATGATTTATTATAGCGAGTAACTGATTCAATTGTTTAATCAAATCAATTGTCATTAATAAATTGACAAATTAATTACGACATGCGGCTATGGTCGACCTTTTAAAGTATTAGTTAGAGTTTTGGCTTGACAACATATTTCCCCCCAAAAGTTTTGAGCTAACAATCAATAGTTATTTAACGCAATAAGAACCTCTTTTGAGATATTTCTCTTACGATTATTGTGTGTGTGAACATGTTTTCTTTGCAGTTTACTCGGAGTACGTGTTTCTCATGCTTTTTATGATGGAAATGCTTATCAAGATGTACGCGTTGGGTATACGGATATACTTTGAATCGGCTTTCAACCGGTTCGACTGCGTGGTCATCATGGGTTCCATATTCGAAGTCATATGGTCAGCCGTCAAAGGCGGTTCCTTCGGTCTGTCCGTACTGAGAGCTTTGCGACTGTTGCGGATATTCAAAGTGACCAAGTAATTGTTTTGTGTGCAATTAAAAAATATTCAGTATGGATTGTGGAATTCGCTGTACGAGTCTACAGTACATTTGTCATCGTTTAGGTATTGGTCATCGTTGAGAAACTTAGTGATATCGTTACTCAACTCAATGAGATCAATCATATCGTTGCTATTCCTGCTGTTCTTATTCATACTGATATTTGCGCTGCTCGGCATGCAGCTCTTCGGTGGACAGTTCAATTTCGAGGAGGGCACGCCCGCCACCAACTTCAACACATTCCCAATAGCTTTGTTAACGGTGTTTCAGGTTAGTTTTTTTATAGTACAATAATAACATCTGTCCGTTTTGTAATTACCAAGTTTTTATGTTACCACTATAACTATAACGTTTCCCGCTTGTGTATTTCACATGTAGATCTTAACGGGCGAAGATTGGAACGAAGTGATGTATCAAGGCATCCGGAGCCAAGCACAATTCCAAGGCGGAGGCATGATATACGCTTTATATTTTATAATTTTAGTACTTTTCGGTAACTACACTCTGCTGAATGTGTTCTTGGCCATCGCCGTCGACAACTTGGCTAACGCTCAAGAACTGACAGCCGCCGAAGAAGAGCAAGAAGAAGAGGACAAAGAGGTAAGAGTAGAATAGTTTTTTTTTTAAGGCCGAATCGGCCATTATTAATAATTCCAATGGTGTCCGTGATAGAAACAACAACAAGAACTCGAAAAAGAAATGGAAGCGCTGCAAATGAGCACGGATCCATCCAGGATGGAAATGATACCGACGTCGCCGTCGCAAACATCCAGGTAATAACTACATTTTGTTTACATGAATCGACCATAGTTTTTGACATTAATTTATGAAATAATTCGAAGTGTTTCGCTTATCAGACATCATCGAAAACACCACAACGATGAGCCCGACAGCAGGGGAGGCGAAGAAGAAGAAGAAGAAGAAGAAGGTCCGAAACCAATGTTGCCGTATTCGTCCATGTTCTTACTGACGCCCACCAATGGGTAAGCGATAGACCAGAGAACCTGCGGTTTTTGAAAACAAAATACAAATTACATTTTATATTATTTGTATGTAATAATTCTTTGATAATATCATGCATATATTTTTGCGACCCTTAGCATCAGAAGAGCGGCTCATTGGATTGTTAATCTGAGGTATTTTGATTTTTTCATCATGCTCATCATCATATTGAGCAGCGTCGCCTTAGCTGCCGAAGATCCTATACACGACAAATCCGAATGGAACGATTATTTGGACATTGTCGACAACGTGTTCACCGTGATTTTCGCTATAGAAATGATATTGAAGGTAACCATTAAATGCTCTACAGTTATTTCCTCGTACTTAACGACCGATTTTGGCATCAATTTAATATTTGTTATTATATCAATAAAAACATGGAATCATGTACGTCTGTTAAAATGGGATGACTCTTTTACCGGAATTAATTATTATTACTCAACCGCAAACGTAATTGAATCCATGATATTTTTAATCGGTCTACTTTTTTAACTTAATTAATTGCAGAAGACGATTTTTCGATTAATCAATATGAATTTGTTCATTTTAAATATTGAAAAATATTCGAATGTATAAATTAGTATTGGTAATAAACTATGAGGGGCACTTAATCTCCCAAGCTCTGTCAAGCTCTCCCGAAAATCAACAGCTAAATTGTAATGCTACAACCAACCTACTCTAATGTTATAGTAGAGTAATATTGTTATTATTCATCTACTAATATCGTGGAAGGGTTTCGGAATCTGGAGAAAAGACTTTATTTAGGCCGTTTATGCCTAGCACTTTTTAACTTTTGTCTCGTTTCACATAGATCATCGATCTGGGACTCATCCTTCACCCGGGTTCGTATTTAAGAGAATTTTGGAACATCATGGACGCCGTGGTCGTCATATGCGCCCTAGCTTCGTTCATATTCGAAAAAAGGTAAGCTTATAAGTGTAGATAGTAATAGATAGACATAACGGACCGCCTTGTATACGATTTTCAGCGATGGACAAGTGGGTACCAACCTGTCGACGATCAAGTCGCTCAGGGTGTTGAGGGTGCTCCGTCCGTTGAAGACAATCAAGCGAGTGCCTAAACTCAAGGCGGTGTTCGATTGTGTTGTGAACTCGTTGAAAAACGTCATAAACATCTTGATCGTTTACATGTTGTTCCATTTCATTTTCGCTGTTATTGCCGTGCAGCTGTTCAACGGCAAGTTCTTCTTCTGTAACGACAGCAGCAAGTCGATCAACGACACTTGCCAGTGAGTATCGCGCAGCGTCCAGCGTCCAATAAACGGTATGGCCGTCGTCTAACACTTATGCCTTGTTGACGTTTACAGGGGTTGGTACTTTAAGTACGAGCCGGGTGACACCGAGGACGTAAACTCGCAAAAGTTCATGCCGAAATTGGAGAAGCGAAAATGGGACAAACAAGACTTTTACTACGACAACGTGGCAGTGGCAATGCTCACGTTATTTGCCGTACAAACGGGCGAAGGATGGCCAAAGTACGAATTACTTATTATACCAATAAAGTTTCATTTAACTATATCGGACATTAACTAATCCAATACTGTACGGATTAATGAAATACCAATTAAGAGACATTATTTCAGCTTTAAAATGCTCAAACTGTCTCAATATCCGATATGTGTTATTTGTCATTAGTTGATCAACGATAATATCGTAAAATATTTAATTGCAGGGTGTTGAAAAATTCCATGGCTGCCACGGAGGAGGACCAGGGTCCCATACCGAATTATCATATAGAAAGGTCGTTGTTCTACATAATTTACTTTATCGTGTTTCCGTTCTTCTTCGTCAACATATTCGTGGCGTTGATCATTATCACGTTCCAAGAACAAGGCGAGGCCGAACTCCAAGACGGCGAAATCGACAAGAACCAGGTACCTGATACCCGACTTTAGTAGTTCTACTAATATGTTAAACGCTCGTTTAACCGACGATTGCAAACACCAATAACATTGTTAAAATACAACAGCTGGCGATAACACGACAAAACACTTACCGAACCGTTTTAAAACTGTTTTTAGAAATCTTGTATCGATTTCACTATACAAGCCAGACCGTTGGAGAGGTACATGCCCAAAGACAGGAACAGCATGAAGTACAAAATATGGCGCCTGGTGGTTTCAACGCCGTTCGAATATTTTATAATGATACTAATTGTTCTAAATACTCTATTACTCATGATGAAGGTAAGTTCTGTCAAATATTCCATATTTTATAATCACGGATAGAACAACAATTGCATTGATAATTTAGGTATTTAAATAATTTTTCATAAGCCCGTAAATAGGTATACACTATACATAAAATTATGTATTTTGTGAACAAGATAATATAATAATTTTAACTGCCATAAGTCTTTTACCTGAAATCACCTCGGTGACTACTGCGTGATAGATATTCACATAAAATCAACTTGAACTACGAAACTGTTTCAACAACCTTTATAATTTTGTAAAAATTATAAAATATATTTTTGTTGCATGATATATTTTTGCTTAGCTGGACACTCCTATTTGCTGTGGAATATCACACACGACGATTTTGAAATAACTTTTTTACTTTTAATTTATTTGAAATATTTTACAGGCTGCTTATTTTCTCTATCTTTTTTCGGCCTATCATGCGCTTACAAATGGCTAAAATCAATTGTATTAAATTGTTTATATGTACTATCCGCATCGCTGCCTTTTTTATAATAAATTAATGTATTCTAATTTTCAATTTTTTTTTATATTTACACTCTTTAAATCTATTGATTATATTTTTATGACAATAGTTTTGAAGCTATTTCGCCTTAAAACTTGCGAGTTCTATGCAACAAAAGGTGACCACTGCAGAACAATAAGAGGGAACTTTCGGTTAGTTATCCTATGAGATCCTCTTGAGCTTGAACACATTCATAATTTTATATTTGTTCATTTATTATCATAGGCACAAATAGTCCAACATTTTTTTAAGAGAATAATGGCCAAAAAACATAATGAATTTGATAAATTTTGGAAGCGGACAAAATATTATAGATACTATCACTTTGGTTTAAATTAGGACTTGCTATGAAGTTTTAGTAGATTAAAATTCAGATTGAAGCAAGATACTGTTAATTATAAAATGTTGACAGTGTTTATGAGATAAACATTACACAGGAAAAATTGTGATTAAATAATTTAGGATTAGAGGAAAGAAAATGACAATAGCATTTTTACTGCCACTAAACAGAACCTAGAGAAACTGTACCAAGTAACTTGTTTTCCTATAAGTTAAAAAATGCAATATATTCACACATACATTTTAATTTAACAATTTAAATACGTGAACTGAGTAAATAAATAAAAAGTTATTTGAATTATTTACCATTTATTTTATTGAAGAAAATAAAAATAAAAGCATGTAAAAAGTAATTGTGAATAGCCAATATTTAAAAATTATAATACCGAACTAACTGTAAGTACATATTTTGGCCCATGACGGCACATTATCACAGCATAGAAATCGCAAGTGCCCCATAATGTTATTTTGGAAGTGTTATATTATCGATTTATTTTGCTTTCTTAACAATTTGCTCTTCTTTCTTTTGTCTTATAATGGTTGATCATATTGTTTTTTTTTAAACATTTTTTTTTATAGTTTTATCAACAAAAAAAAACCTACAAGACTGCACTACATTACATGAACATGGCGTTTACTGGCATGTTCACCGTTGAGTGCGTGCTCAAAATTTTGGCGTTCGGAGTCAGGGTAAGAGTTAAACACGTGTTCAAGTAGCTGTGTACCACCCGGAGTATAACAGTATTACAATTTCTGTTAAATTGTTTATTTTAGAATGTAATCGTTAATGATAACTGATACACGATGACCGATAATTGATATTAACCATTTTAATAATTAATAAATATTAATGTTAATTGTTATTAATTACTATTAAGTATAAATTAATAATAATATTATTTATATCAGTTATATATATATATATTACACTAATATAGTATAATACAATATTATTATTATTTTATATTATTTATATTAGTTAATTCAAAATTAGTTATTAATTAATAATTAATAATTTAATTTTGTCGTTTTGACGTTGATATATTATCATATTTTTACCTCATTACGGTACGTTTACTTAACTAACAAAAAACATCTTTAAAATATCACAGTTTATACCGCGTGCTTTCCATTAACCGTATTATTAATTGGTTCTTATTAAATATAATTATTCTGAAAGATAACATATTAATATATTATATTTTTAATAAAATAAAAACACCGACGCTCTTAATTTGAGAAAAAGCGGTAAGTACGTCCTGATTATAAATACATACATTGTAGTTGTGATAATATTGTTAGAACAGATATTACCATAATATGAGTTTTTCGACACATTGTTGCAAGCACTCTATTACTGTTGCACGAGCTTTACTGTATTGAATGCGTGCTATTGTGTTACCTTAACGTCTGCTTGTGTTGTATCGTGTGTTTTTGTTTTGCATGCATCTACTTATAATTTGTCGTCTATCTGCTATATTTTAGCGTCCGGTTAGGAGTTTCGTTGAGTGTATTAAATGTAAACCTTAGGCTGCGCGGCAAGCGTAGGGCGTGGGCGCGTAGAGGCTCCATAAAATAATATAGAGTTTGGTGTCCATTGTAGCCAAATAGTGAGCATTATAATATAATATTTATGTAAAAAACATTAATAAAAAAAAAACTCCATCACTCGTTTATACGTTATATAGTCGTTACAATAGTTGTATACACACACCTTTGAGTTATTAGAAACTAGTTGTAAAACTATGCAATTTCTCATGACCACATTTAAACCGTGTGCACAATGTAAAATTCATAAATATTTGTCAAACAAAGCGCATTACAATCTTTGTTTTCATCATTTCTTATTTAAAACCTGATATTTATATATATATATATATATATATATATATTATATATATTTATTTATATATATATATATATATACTACAAACACGTGGCCGTGGACGTTGAGAAATTGCATAAGTATAAATGTACAAACTATTAGTATTTAGATTGTTTTTTTTTTTGGTAATATAAAGTTTTACGAATTAGTTGGTAAATGTTAATAATATAAACTATTAACCGATACCACTCTATTAGTTGCCTGTGTAATATTAAAACGTTGCTATTGTTTGGTTGTTTATCCTGTGGCTGCAGCACCATCGCGAATCGCATCTACTTAACAATATCCTACTGAACCTGAATCATATTTTGACGCTGCTATTCTTGGTAGAATGTGTCTTAAAACTCATCGCGTTCGGATGTAAGGTAACATTTTCAAACGTTTACAAACGTTTTAATAAAAATATTACAATAATTATTTTTACCATTGTTGTAGTAATAATATTGTTACATATTCTTATTTTATTAATACATTATATTGAGTTTTTATTATATGAATTGGTTGTCCGATGGAAAGCATGCGTGATATTTATCAACACTGATTGAACTGTTTATTTGAACAGTTACTTTTAACTGAACGATAATAATATAATGTCTGACCATAATAACCATGCTCTTTGCTTGACGAAATGGTTTTTTCAGAATTTTTTTAAAGACCCGTGGAATATTTTCGACTTTATCACCGTCATCGGAAGTATCGTGGACGCGCTTGTCATCGAATTTGGGGTAAGCATTACAATATTATAAACAATATATATACGTTTAAATTAACCATACAATAACCTAACACTAAATATACACTTAATACATAATATCATTTACCTATCTATATTTCTTCTTACATATTTATATTTTATAATTCTATTGAATTTTATTTTCGATACAAGTGTGTTCGTCAATTAGTGTCTTCACTATAATATGTTGCATAGCTTTATAATACCGCTCAATCATTTCTCTATTTTCTTTTTTTATATTCTGTTATAATGTATTTTGCTAGATCGATTGTATGGCATTTAATATACACGATCCTAATAAATTTATGCTAATATTCCGAGTAATATACTTAACTATCAAACCGCTATTTTTACTATACCTACCTACCTTTCTATATAAAAAAAAACCGTAAAGTTTTAATGATTTCCCGTTGCCAATATTTCATCTAGAATTGTACAATTATATTCCTATTAAATATTATATATATTTTTTAATGTTTTCAATCCGCTAATTAAAATAATATCCTGTTTTATTTCGTTTTCTTACAACCCACTTAGACATAATATAGAATAAAACCAATTTCGCATAAGAAATCATGACGTCCACCGTTTCGAAAATAATATCATAATAGATAATTTAAAAATCAAAATTATGCGACACTCAAGGGTTGTTTGTTAGTACCTAAGACACGTGATAGGCAAAAAGCGTGTGCCCATGCGTTCAACGAGTTAGAGAACGGCCGTTGTTTGCACACAAATCTGACACAGGGAAAACGATATGTAACATTTTTAATCTTATATATAGGAACGTCTCGTAAGTGTGTACCGAACTGTGTTCGAGAAAGAGTTAGTCAAAGAACCAAAACTGCTGTTCGGGGAAGTTGTGGAGGTAAATGTTCTATTTAAAACAATTAGGTGTACGCCAATTTGTTGCATCCGACGTAGACCGCACTTGTATACTGTTGAAGAATGTGACTTATTTATTGTTTTTTTTTTGTAATTTTTCTTTGGTCCTTTGGACATGGTTTTATTTGTTATTTTTTTTTTTTTGAATACTCATAATGTATATACATACATACATACATGTGATATTGTATACGACCGAAGTGTGTTGTTTTGGCCCGAGCTGTGATTCCATCATGCAACATATTTTAAGTCTTATCAAACAATAATACACATTCACCATTCAGACTGCAGTCTTTGGCTAACACGCACATATTGTTGTGATTATAAGGACGCAATATTAAAAAATAATATAATATTATGTTCACTATACCTACGTTTTTACTATGGAAGAGATAATGCACAGCTCGTGTAAATAATTTGTCCCATATTAAATGTAAAAACGACCAATATTTTTCAAGAATAATAGTAATAATGAATTGTGATTTTCAAGAACAATTTATTGAACTGTCGTGTTTATTTGTGGGCTTTAAGTTTTACTAGTAGTACTTGAATACGGGGTTGAGACGAATCGCCAACTGCAGAAAGGGGACAAGTCCACTTCTTTTAATTTTTCAGTTAAAGCGAAAAACTAAATAACAGACTTGGCGGTACGGGGGTTATCTGGAAGGCGCAGTCCATTTCTTTGCAGGTCTATGAATCCCTTTATCCCGTCCCTTTATTGTAATGAATGATGACGTATTTACCTGTCTTTGTAAAGACAGGTGATAACAGCAAAGTTGATAAAGGCGGACTTGTCCAATTTCGCAGTTAGCCGTTCAAGTATGTTCAGTGTTTGGAACGTGAAAATAAACGCACTCTCTCTCTTATATTTTGTCAATAAAATCCTCGAGATTAATATAATGTAAATCTATGTGATTTGTCTATGTTTTAGATTTTATAAGACTTTACTTTAATTAAAAAATCACAATTTGACTGGGCTTTGAACATCAACTGTAAATAAAAATACAACAGTAAAAATTATTACATTTTTATAATTAGTTATATTTTCTTGTTTTATACTCGTACTTACTGATTACTTAAAATACAACTAACTAATGATTAATCAAATGCACTCTTTCCAAACACTGATTATTATATTTTTATTGTGTGTTGACGGTTTGTGTTTCATAACGTGTGTAAAAAATACTATAATAATAATAATAATATGTAATTACAAAAATTAACCTGGAGCTCACTTATGTAATAATATATATCGACATGTCTAACAAAGAAGAACGTAACTTTATTTAAAAAAAAAATGTGTTTTTTTAAACTGATTATCTAGTTCTTTGTATTATCTGCGAACTAGGTAGTAAATTAGTTGTGTTATTCATAACCTTTCTTCTTTGGTCGATTCGAGTTACTACCTTTTTTAAGTTAATTTTTTCGAGTTACGACTTTCTTTGTTGGACACGTATTCTCTATTTACGTATATTTAAATACTTATATTACAGTAATAATATAGTTTAACGTAGAAATCATATTGTATTCATAATTAATTTTAGAACCACACCAACTGGTTAGTTAATAACGATTGAGTAGTTAGCGCATAATAATTTATAAGTGGTTTGTGGTTTTAGATAGATTTCTAGAAGGAACAGCGAATAGGCATTCGAAGATTGTAACCGTGAGCAGCCATAATATCCAAACCAAACATTTTCTTAAATCTTACATATATATATCAGTTCATTAAAAAGAAAAATATACTCTAAATAGACCGGATTAATTGTTACGGATATTATTTAAATGATTTACGAAACAAAATTTAACAAAAAAAAAAAATTGAGATTACTCAACTAAGCTATTTAAAAGCTTTTATGCAGAATCTGTACAACAGATTGTATAATATTTTTGTCTTAATCTTCGAATGTCCTCAATGAATACAATATTGATTAAAATTAATTTTTTTGGGGATTTTGACATTGACTTATAGTTTTTTTTTTTTAATTAATTGTTTTCATTTCATTATTATAATATTTTACAGAATGTTCAGCTGAGGCTATCACAGCTGAACCGTAATCACCCTGTATAGATGTAATACATATAGCCCATAGATGACGGTACTCGTCTATTATAATGGAATAGTGTTTTTTTAGACATAATTTTGGAATTTAAATCCTATTGATTTTTGAAGGGACAAAACCCCGTTAGTTTTGAACTCATAGTACGCAAAATTTAGGAGTTCGTATAATGTTTTATAGATTTTAGACCTTTCACATTTATTTTTTTTATAAAACGATAATTTAGAATAGTGTTAAACTCGAAATAGCACACACTATAATAATAATTTTGTTTTTAGGTAAACTTTACAAATCATGGACTATAGATTAGGCATAATAATAATTATGATTATACACACACACATGATAATATTATATTATTATAAAAACAATGAACGTTGTTGTAATTATCGCTGATCGTCTCACTTAAATGCCAAATAAGCTGAGCATGCGCATATTATATTTTATAAAAACAATACATGATAACATTATGTATAACATATAAAAATATAAAACATACGATAAATAGGATGTTGCTAATGCTGTTGCTACTGTTATCGCCGACGCTGCTGCTATTCAAATAATATTACTATATGATATTTTATATATACTGCTGTTGTTACCGTCTACCCCGCTGCTGTTGCTGCTTACATTATCACGTCAACAAATCGATTGAATCAATTATTTACGGTTTTATTCGGTTGAAAAGCTAAAAGCGTGACGACAAGGGGGGGAGGAAGGTTAAATTGTAGTATGCACATACAAAGCCTTGAAGCCAGTTTTAAGTTGTTTTGTTCCATGGCTCTAAGTCGTTTTACTATAATTTTCGGCGCAAGAAGTACTAAAATTGTATTTACAAGGCAAGCGTTTAAAGTCAATTTTTTTATTAAATTGACATAAGATTGCCAATGCCCGAAAGACGGGACCTTTATCCTGTAAAAGCTACCAAAGTCATTACCAAAGCACTATTCGGCGGGTAGATGGTTAAAAACGAGCGCGTCTTTCGAAAAGAATAAAAGATATTTTTTTCTTAAAGGAGAGAATAGCATTTTCAATACTTTATTAGACCAGCACATTGCCATATCGACTCTATATGAATGTCAATGTTTTGCAATTATTCATCTTTAAAATCTTTAATTATTGTAAGCCGTCCCCAAAAATAATTCAAGACATTTTTATAGAGCTTCTCGTAATCGGTAGTTCCTTGTTATAGTCTACGTCAGAAGTCTCCTTAACGTTGTGTGGCCGATTCCAGACGAGAGTCTCTAATGTTCTCCATATTGATTAATCTTTTTTTATTTAAAATCTCGAGTGACGCATAATTTTATAGTATGTAATTTGGTGTTAAGAATGGTAATTATTTCCATCGTCGACTGACTCATAAAAAAGTTCTATTGAGCTAAAATAAAACCGTAAGACGGACGACTCGGGAAAATTGTTTTATTCTCAAGGAAAATGTTCACTTGACAATTGAACAAGTAATTTCAAACTGGCACACATCAATCAGTTGCAAAATATTGACATTGGTACGTAGAGTAAGTCAGACAACGTGGAGGGGGGGAGGTGAGAAATTGACGTGTGTAGGACGCGCACAAGCTATTATGCGGGGACAATAATTGAAGCGCCAGCAAACACTACACCTAAGACTCAAATCATCGCTACTTCTAAAGCGGCTCGTGCTTCATTGTTACAGGAAAACTTCATAAACGTCGGCTTTCTCCGTCTGTTTCGAGCAGCCAGGTTGATAAAATTGCTCCGGCAAGGGTACACGATACGTATACTGCTCTGGACGTTCGTACAATCGTTTAAGGTACGTTCAATGTTGTCTGCTGTCATTGTCGCTTTCGCGAAAACCTACACCCGGCTGTAGCGCGCCTAGCGGTGAAAATCTGTATACATTTTACATGGGCTCTTATGGGAACAGACAAAAATCATGTCCGACATCTTGAGAAATGGACAGTGCCGTTAGAAGTAGGAAAATTCTAATTTTCCGTTTATTCCGGCTAAAAAAGGGTTACAAAAAAAGCGTAGGAATACAAAAAGCGCGGGCTTTGTACTACAAGTCAAAGAGGACTCCTGCTAACAGAACGGACAGGGAGTAGTGGGTCACATTCAGGCGTCGGTTTTCGTGAAAACAATTACTATACACTTGCCACGGGTAATGTTAATTATTTTGCTGTTGTAGGCGTTACCGTACGTTTGTCTACTGATCGGCATGCTGTTTTTTATATACGCCATTATCGGGATGCAGGTACAGTGTGAATCTCCCGGAATCGGAGTAGTGATCACTTCACACACACACACATACACCCACAATTATTGTTCTAATTTTTTTCACAGATATTTGGTAACATCGCTCTGAAACCCGACACGGACATCAACAGGCACAACAACTTCCAGACGTTCGTCCAAGGCCTGATGTTGTTATTTCGGTAGTACACAGTTTCGCCAACCGTCGGATTAGCGTTATTTTTATACGTGTTTAACCTTGCGTTTTCGTATTCTCAGATGCGCGACGGGCGAGTCTTGGCCGGCTATTATGTTGTCGTGTAATAAAGGCAAGCCGTGCGACCCAGGAGCTCACAAAATTGAAAACGAATGCGGTTCTAACATGGCTTACGTTTACTTCGTGTCTTTCATATTCTTCTGTTCGTTTCTGGTAAGACACGCTTTTATGCCCACCTATAGTTTGCATTTCATCAGTTTACCAGCAATAGAATATATTTACTGTATAAATATAAAAAAAAAATTGCATAATAATAACTAACGAGCATTTTACCCCATTAACAGATGTTAAACTTGTTCGTTGCCGTCATCATGGACAACTTCGACTACCTGACCAGGGATTCGTCGATTTTGGGCGCTCATCATTTAGACGAGTTTGTCCGTATCTGGGCAGAATACGATCCAAACGCCACGTAAGATCAACACTGATTTTTCAAAAAAAAATTTAAAAAATTCCGCTCAAAGATAGGTAGAAGAAAGAGTAAAATGTGAATGAGCTGGGTCATTGTGCGAGTATGAAAAGGCGAGGTGGAAACGATCAAGTATATGTCTTGAGGTCAGCTACTAGTTTTACTCATTTGGCTGATTCAGGATTATACGAGCTAAAGACAATAATGGAAACATTCGAATATAACTCTCCTTATCATTGTCACTTAGAGAATCGTGATTAATCATAAAAATGCTACTTTAATGGTTCTACAGGGGTAAGATACATTACACCGAGATGTACGACATGCTCAAAAACATCGACCCACCGTTGGGCTTCGGTAACAAATGCCCTAACCGTTTGGCTTACAAGAAGCTCATCCGGATGAACATGCCTGTAGACCAGGACGGCAAGGTGCAATTCACCACCACGTTGTTTGCTCTTATACGAGAAAACCTCAACATCAAAATGCGATGTGGTACGTGTGCTGTTAGTTTGCAAACTAAGAGATTGAATATTATATAAAAATATTATGGCCGATTTTGATAAAATTAAATGAAACCTACAAATGATTTCGGTTTATCGTAACAATTAACGTGTTTTAGCCGAGGAGATGGACCAGGCGGACGAAGAGTTGCGAGAAACCATCCGGCATATATGGCCGCTTCAAGCTAAAAAAATCTTGGATTTGCTCATTCCCAAAACAGACTGTGCGTGCATAACGTTTCACTGTGCATTAGTATGACCAGAGTTGTGCATTTTATTCGAATAAAAGGTTATCTATCTAAACAATCGGCTAGATAAACCATCGTTCCAGTAAAAGTTATTCAACAACTAAGGTTACATTCGAATAAATTGTTAAAGAAATCACAAGAAAATGTTTTTATTCGATTAAGAATTCGCACAACTCCGGTTACGACCTGTTAGCTCGGTACTGACAAACGTGTATGTTTTTTCTCTTGGCTCCAGGTTTGAACGCCGGTAAACTAACGGTAGGCAAGATCTACGCGGGTTTGTTGATCCTGGAGAGCTGGAAGTCGACGAGGTTCGGGCAAATCGAGTCGGCCAATCCTCAGGTAATCATCGATTCCGCAAAATATTGTGTTTTTTTTACCCTAATAGATAATATTATATTATGTTATTATTATTTTTATAATTTTTTTTTCAACATTAAAACTCGTGTAAAAGTAACGAGGTACGCGTAAAAGGAGTTTCAAACGCCTGAACGGGTATAATAACGATATGACTTAAAGATACAGTGTTGGTTAGCCCGCAATATAATAGAGATAATAACGACTTAAAAAAAATAACTTAGTTATTTCCTAAAAAAAAAAAAAGAAATTAAATTAAATTAACTCCAATAAAATACCAATGATATAATACGAGTCGGTTGTTTATTTATGATTTGAGTGTTTATTTTGATTTTTTTGTTGTTGATCTTAGGATTATATTTTGTTTTTGTTTTGTTTTGTTTTCTGTAGGTATACATAATTAATATAATGTCACATTATATGCCGTATTATTGTGTTGTGAACCCTATTATATTATGTCATTATGTTTTTAATGATGTGTGTTTATGTTCCTTAGCTCCGTTATGACATATTATTAATGTTTTATTTTCTTATTTTCCATTAATACCTTTCATTTTTGTTGAGCAGTCATGGTGACGTCGCATGCATAATAATTGATTTTCGATTGTTTTATTTTTTTTTCTGTTTTTACTATGGATTATCACATGCTCATCTATGTAAAATCCCTAAAGCGTGAGCAAAATAAAATTGTCTAAAATAATTTGTCTACCCCGTCATGTTTTTTGTTATTCATAGTATTACATTTGAAAAAAAAATTACAACAGCTGTCACTAAAAAAAAGAAATACATAATTTTTTTTTTCGTTTCGTTTTGTCAGGACTTTTTTTTTAATTGTTTTGGTATTTTTTTTTTTAACAAATTGTATAAAGCTACAAAACGCTGAGCTTTGTAAACACAAAATTAAACACGTTTTGCTTTTACACGTTCACACCTGTTTGACGGTATTTTTTTTTTTCATTTATGTTATTGTTTGTTTTTTGTTGTTTTGTTTTGTGTTGTGAAGCTCCCTTAATTTTTCTAAAGAGCCACGGAGTTATCAACAAAACCGTATGTTTTTTTTTTGTTTTTGTTAAATAGTCATTACAAAGATTTTTACAAATTATATGTAGGTTATGTTTTTAAAAAAAAATTTGTTTAGCTTAATTACTTAACATTTAATATAGGTTTACATAATATATATATTATGTGTTGTTATCAAATTGGGTAAAGTTTTTATACATAGGTTTAGTAGATAGGCGATCGCCAGCGATGTAGGTATATAATAATAGGTATATTATTATTGTTATGATGCGATTTTATTTAGTGTAGAAAATGCACAACATATTATTATTATGCGTGGAAAACATGTTGATGGTTAGGTGATATTGTTTTAGGCGTTAAATAAATAGTATGATACACTGTAAACGTTTTTTTTTTAGGTTTAGAATAACGTTATATTATATTCGTAGAACACAAAACATATTTTATTTTAGAGCATGGAGTATTAAAAAATAAAATAAACTATTATTTAAAGGGTGAATGAAATTACCGGTAAACGGAATCGGAGAACAGTCGATAGAGACAGTTTATATTTATGTGTTTGCTTTCAGGGCATTGCAGAACATAGTTCCCCAGAGCCGGTAGTATTGATTTGAGTTTATAACAATTATTAATTATTATTTTATTATTATTTTTTTTTTTTACATATATACATACTCATTTGTATATTTTATTATTATTATTATTATTGTTTTTTATTTGTTGAATAGTTTTTATTATTTTTTTTATTAGTTATTTTATATTTTGTTTATGTATATTATTTTCGTTAGTTTTCTGTATATTTTCTACTTTTCTTAATTCTAATGTAAGTTCATCGTAGGCACCAAAGTGAAACGTTTTCGCCAATTCCAAAAACGCGAAACGATTCATCCATTTTGTGTTTAGACTATTTCACTTATAGTGGACATTTTGAAATTCGTTATTGTTAGCTGTTCAACACACACAATCACATGTGATATCTGTCTTACTACCATTATAACTGTTATTGTTTTCCATTATTATTATTATTATTGTTTATTTATTTATCATTTTTTATATTTTTTATAATAATTGTCGTGTAAACATATTTACTGGTGCCTTTTCTCAATATTACGGGGTTCCATTTTTATCTCACTACCTTTAATATTATTCTCGATCTAGTCATAGGGTTATTACTTATTTCCCTTCATTAATTGAAGAAAAGCGTGAAATAGTTTACATTTTAATTGTAACTATAATTTCATCGTTAACTTATTACTGAGGAGGTGCTTCTGATTAAGTTTTGACACCACAAACGTGATTACAATTTATAGCGGTTAAACGCATTTGTCAATCATAGATAATAATATAAATAAGATTAAATAGGTTTAATCATATAAATTCGATTATTTATATATGTTATTATGATTTACTATCCATGAATATACAGATTAAAACAAAATGTTTTATTTTAAGCCAGTAAAAATGTTTACACACAATACGAGGAGAGTTAGCTCCTAATTTTGTTTTATTATTTCATATAGCTTTGTAATAATTATATACAACGTTATTTTTGTAAAATATTTTATTTAGTTTTTTTTTTTTTTATGTCTTTGTCCTGTTTTTTATGAGCACTACGAAAACGAACCATCCCCGAACCATCTGACCTCTACTCCCCCTTATGATTGAAATACAACAAACTAGTAAAATTTAATATATGCACCCAAGCCGTCCTATAGTATATTATATATAGTATAGCTCATTTATATTATGTATAATATAGTACTCATAGACAATATAGGTATGTCGTATGTATACATTTTGATCGTCAATATTAGACCACAGTTCAGCTGGCTATTTTAGATTCTATACATATTATTATTAATGTTTAACATTAATTTGGCTATATTGGTATATAATGTTTTTAATTGGTATTATTTTTATTTACTTCTAAATAGATAATATTTTTACTATAGTTTTATTGTGTACTTAATAACCATCATGAACACGCACGGGTCTCTAAATTATTAGTAGAACTTATTACTTATTAGAACAAATAAATAATAGATTTATTTATTCATTTTATAACTAAAAAATATCTCTTAGCATACAGTGCTACGGCATATTTAAATATTTTTGCAATAGCGCATTTAAAAAAAAAAATTATTTTACTTAAACATATTTTATGTTTTTTTTAAAAATAATGTTATCATTTTTTATTATTATTATTACTATTGTAGTACTATTGTTTATAAACCTGCATTTGTGATATTAGTTCCAAAGTAGTTTCCAAATTACACGTTATAATTTATGCATGGATGTTATACATTTTTATTATTATTCACAATAATATAAGTATTCGTAGCCGTACAATATACTATTTAGACTGCAACTGATTGATATTAATTATTTTATTTATTTATTTTCCATTTTATTTAAATCATAACGATAAAAAATAAACCGATTGTCTAAAAAACAACCAACACAACACGTTTGAAAATAAAAAATTTAATAAACCGTTTATATTATACATACTTATATATACATATATATATATATATATATATATATATAATATATACATATACATACATTGTTTTCTATTCTTTTAAGCTTATTTCACCCGCTTAGTGACAAAGCTTTATATACAAAATCTTCGTACAGAACTAAACATATTATACTTTAATATACATAAAGCTTATTTTTTAGGGGAAACTGGTGTTGGGTAGGCTTTTTAAACTCATAATATATTATTATTATTATAGATGCACACTGTTGCACTCCTATCGAGCTATTATATTTGTAATTTACTGCTAACGTTTTATCGTTTTTTTCCATATTTTCTCTAGTAAACTATTTTTACTATTATTATTATTTTTTTTAAATCTATTCTTTTCTGCTTTAAAACATTATTGTGTACACATTTCAAACAGCATTCGTCGTTCTTCACGTGCCTGATGGAGGCCGCCGGTGCGTCGAACTGGAACCCAGAACGTGGACAAGACGAAGACGAAAACAGCTGTCTGCTGACCAGAAACAACTCCAGGAACAGGTACCTAATTATTTCTTATATGAATATAAAACGTTTTAACAATATCCGACCAGACCAACATCATTGACATACAAATCAATGTATTATGAATGCAATTTATTTTACTAGATAAACGTATGCTTTAAAAGCGTTGTTATCATCTAAAATTCGAAGAAAAACACTTTAGTCAAATAAGGTTCCTCAATTCAATCTTATCACTAACGAACAGCCATCTTAAATTTGGACCGGAGCAATGTCCAGGTCCTTTGCATGTTCAACCCGCCACTGGCGAAGAACACTATATTTTCTAGAGGAATCCCAACAATAACCGTTTATGATTTTCATTCGAATAAAATAATCTCCTTCTTACATTGATTTAATTAATAAAGCGTCAAATGTGAACAAGCTGCACGAACTGACATCTCTACAAAAACTTCAGTGGAGGATATCATTGTTTTTTTCTCAATTAATAAAACTAAATTCTAAATAAATGTGTTTTCTTTTTTTTTCAGGTCTAAAAAGGTGATGATCGTATAACATAGTAAAGTAAAATAATTTTTATACCATAGTGTATTAATACTGTTAACCAGCTGGTAACTACTCCAATCGAACGTCGACGATATATTTTATCGAATAATTCTAATTTTTATTGTTTGATCCTATTTAAAATGCCGACGAGTACGTTTAACAATTATTTAATGTTTTCGGTGCTGATAATTAAACCATACTACGGCCAATTGCATAATTTTTTTCATTTTAAAAACAAGGAGAAAAAAATAGTCAATATTATTAATTTCTAGTCTGTATATCAAGTGACTACAATCTATGTGTAAACGGTTCTGTGTTTGTGTATTTTCAGCGTTTTGTAACCCAACCCAAACGTTTGAGAAGGAGGCGTGGCGATATTTTAGAAAAGGTATTGACATGGTTTGAGAGTTTTGCCGAAATTTCTGGAATTTAGCGTTGTTGTTTTTTTATTTATTAATTTGAAACATTATTTTGTTGTTGTTTTATTGGTTGTTTTAATGTTGGTACTATTTTTGATACATTTATGTATATTTTTTGGTGTATTTTCATTTGCGTAGAACCTTTGAATCTGTTAAAATTCGGAAACGTGGGGTTTTTTAAAAAATAATAAAAACCAAACAGTTAATTAGGTACTGATTTAGTCGTTGTTGTATGATAATTATTATTGTTGTTGTTTGTGTGATGATTGCATAGACTCTAGTCACTTGATGGAACTCTTGAATCGTATAACGATCATTATTATTTTGAACTTATCATATTATTATACTTCTATTGTTATACTCCTTAGAGAGACTTGCAGAAATCGATACGTTTTTAAAACGTTATTGACATGACGTTATAGAAAATTATTTAGTTACATTTTGATGATACATTTAGAAAGATAATTTATTTTTGATTCGTTTATAATAATATTATATTTTGTTGATAATATTCTGTACAAGGATAAACGTCGTGATATAATAGAACTCGACTAAGTTTGTTGTTGTTGTTGCTTTTGTTGTTGTAAATGTTATTTGATTACAATACTAATATATTATATTATTATGATTATTAGGCGTACGCGTGCCATTAAGGCGTAGTCATGTTGCTGTTCTCTTTACTACTGAACTATAATTCAATTTTTTATTAATATGTTTTTATAATATTAATTTTAATTAATATTATAACAACATTTATTAATAATAATTGTACCTGTACCTAAGGTCTATAAAAACGATTGTTCAATTTTGGTAAAAATGTAAATCGATTCAAAGATGTTACTCAAATGAAATTGTGTCACGTTAAAAAATGTATTAAATTTATTATATATTTATAGATACTTCAATTAGTCAATCGTTAACAAAATTAATAAATGAGTGCTCTTAAATCATTAATAATTTATTTTTACAAACTAAAAAATGGTAGTTTATTAATTGAATAAACAACTGATAAAAATACTCAAGTAGTCATGAATTGATGAGTTATCAATGAAATAATTATTAACTATTTGACAAAAAAATCGAGAGTAAAATAATATATTTAACCACAAGAAATATTTTATCATTCATTTAAAAAAAAATATGTTAGTTAACCCATTTACCATAAATATTTAAAAAAAAAACAAAAAATTCCATTCCGGTTTATTCACCAAAGCCAAAGTTGTCATTATTTAGACCAAAGGTACATGTACAACATAAAATAATGGCCTAACCAGGCGCCTTGTATTTGGTTAACAATTTCAGGATAGAAGTATTTAACGGATACGTACAGTATTAACAGTATATAATTACATGAAATATTGTATTCAATTTGAAGAAAAACAAATTATTGATAATTTGTTAATTATTTATTAATCTATTTGTTTTATATACATTATGTATAAAGACTTTATTTTCTAATATTACCTTTTTTTTTGCACGATGCATGCAGCGCAAATAACTTGCATGAACTTTATTCAACGTCTTATCGAATTTATCTTTTACAATTTATAAATACAATATATATATATACACACATACATTCATAAAAAATAGAACTGTGGTCAGTCGGTGAAAAGATACATATTTTATTATTTACCATTTTTATATTATATATATATATTTTTTTTTATAATATCATAACGGTCAACCTTTCTGTTTACCGCGTGTTGACATCCTCGCGGTTAATCGGCCAAGTAGTTTGAATGAAATCATTTTTTTCCCCTATGACCATTACATTTAAATATACATAATATACGATACGACATAAACTACCCTTTTTCCCGTCCATAAATACCCTCGCACCACGTTTTTGTTTATTTATTTTATTTTATATTTCGTGTTCTGTCCATGTATATAATGTTATACTATAAACTGTTACAATATATTAATTGTAATAGTATATTATTTAACATGATACTACAGTGTTGCCCGTGTAAATAATAAATATTATACAGCATAATAATTGTATGGCAATATGTTAATATGAGGTGTAATAATGTCAAACAATTGAAATTGTATAAATGTAAAATTTATCTTTTGGCTTCCGAGCTCCTCGATTTGAATCCAATATTACCAACAAATCGGATTAACTGTACATTTGGGACAAATTTGTTCGCATCTTCAAATATCTAGTATCCGGCATGTAAACCGGATGTTTGGTCGATTACAATAATAACACATTTATTTAACGACCAAATAAACCATCGAATTCCGAGGTCTACGATTTTAGAGAAAAAGACATATTTATATTTGCCGTTTGCGGATGGTAGCGTGCGCCGTCTGTTGTTGATTGAAATTGTTATCGTCGCACACGATAATACCGTACGGTACACGGTTGGTACCCCTGCCGTGTACAACTGTGATGGCGGCGATGGCACTTTGTATATTTTGGTATATCTTACGGACTGGGCTACTGGGCGGTTTTTTCAGGTGATGGAGCTGACGGACGTGGTCATATCTTCAAGACGGCCATCCGAAGATTCTATTTCAGACGGTCAACAGCCACAGCACCAGAGCATGCATTTGCATCCCGGATATAGACAGCCGAGATCTCGATCACCGAGCATAAGGTACGTCAAGTCGCGTACGGTTGCCTTAAATATTTCTCAATTATATAATAAGTATAATACTCATATATCTCTTGAGCGAGACATATTGATATATTTATTATATTCTACGAATATCTACCGTATGTTATACATAGTATATAAGAAAATTCTAAACAGTATATTCATAATAGTTGATTAGAATATTGAATGCTATATTATGAGGTATAAACATATTCGAGTGTGATTTCAAAAAAAAACTATTTCTTATGTTTTCATTCAGCTGCAAACATTTTAAATGTACACGTGTTCGGTATTTTAACTTACTTTTGACTTAACTTCAATTTCAGAAGGGAAAGAAATACTCCGTCGCCAGTAAGAAGGTATCATCATCCTAATCATCCTCATCATTATCACCACAGTCATCATCCACACGAGATTGGTTTTAGTGACACTGTATCCAATGTCGTCGAGATCGTCAAACAAGAACACCGTCGTCAACCGAGAGGTAAAAATATATAACAAACGGCTGTAAAGTCAACCATGTTTATCAAACATGATAAAAAAACAACACAATATCATAAGCCTAAAAGTGCACCTAATGGTATTTATTATGCATTGGAAAAAATTTTAATTGAAACAAAAAATGTAATTATTAAAGCATAAACAAAATTTAAGCAAAATATTACTTCAAAAACTCGCTAGATATTTCATATATATTCTTAAAAATATCTTTCACTATTCTCGTGAAGCGTTTATTTTCAAATTCTAAAAACTCTTATAATATTACGTAAGATTATGAAAATGGGAACGTTTCATCATTTAAACTAGGTCTTGTTTAAACTTGATATCAGTCTATATGATATTATGGTATAAATCTACTTTACCGGACACTATTTTTTTACTTATTTCTCGTCTTTACCCCTAAACCTTGTTGATCTATCTTCTCTCTAAATTCAATATATAATCATTACAATATATAATCATTCTTTCCGTCCTCTTATTTTGTGTTTATTTACCAGTCCTAATAATTAAATATTAACGTGGATAAGTTTTACCGTCGAATGACATTCCAAAATTGGCGTGGCGTAGGCTCTCTGTCACTATTAGGCTGTTGATAGCCACTGGTTTTATTTCAAAAATTGTTTTTAATGTTATTTCACATTAATAATATTATTAATATCATAATATTAATATATAATAGTTTAAATGCTCACAACAGTTGTGCGTCTGTTTCTAAGGTTCGTGGTCAGCATCGACTAGTCCGGTGCGGTCGCCTAGTCCAGACCGATCGGAGAGCGGCAGGACATACTACGGAACGACCAGTCTGGACCAGCGGTCGCGTTCGCCGTCGCCAGTGTCGACGACGGGAAGCGGCCGGCATCCACCACAGCAGCAGTCGCAGCAGGCGCCGCCGCCGCAGCAGGCGTCCATCAGACAGCAACAGCAGTCGACGTCGTCGCAACCGTCGATGATGATGATGATGCCGCCGCCGACGATGTTAGTCAACAGCAGTTACCCGGTGCTGGCCGTGGCGGGCTGCAGTAGACGCCGTTTGCCGGCCACGCCGAACAAGCCGTCGTCGCTGCAACTACGGCCGCCGCACTCGTCGACGACGTCCATCAACTTCCCCAAGCTGAACGCGTCGCCCACGCGCGGCTCGCCGGCGTCGTTGCCCAAACCGTCGTCGGCGAACCGGCAGAACAGCATAGCCATGACCGCCATGCCGCCGTTGAGTTTCGAACAGGCCATGTCGATCGGCCGCAGCGGCCGGCTGTTACCGTCGCCGGTGCACAACGGCTACACCAAGACTAGGCGGGCCGCAGCGGCTGCCGCGGCCGTGGCCAACAAGAGCCACGCCGCCGGCGGCCGGCACAGCGATTCGGACGACGACGACTGGTGCTAACCCTTGCTGTCCGGTAGCAGCAGACGACCAGGCCCGTCGTCGTCGCCGCCTTCAACGTCGTCGTTGCAGGCCGCCAGTTCACAGGCACCAGTCGCTTCCGCCGCCACCGGTACACAGTAATCATAACCTTATTGAAAACGTTTATTACCATGTAAATGCATTGATGTCGTCACCGTCTTTGTTATATTATTTACATTTTATTATTATTATTATTATCATCGATTGACTAATTCAATTATTCTTCTTATTTAAATCGTTCCATTGAAACATAGATAAATTATCATAAACAACAATAATACTAAATTATTTTCTTATAATTTAAACCCGTTTTTTTATATAAAAACTTACAGTAAGCGCCCACCCGGTTTTGCCAATCGTTGTTAAGCCTCAACGTGAAGTAGGTTTATTGTAACATGGTCTAAGGTCCTTAACAAATAATTGGTAAAACAGGGTAAATGTAATTGGTAAAACGATAATTTCCAGCGTAATTTTGTTTTGCTTGTCATACGATAGGACCACCCTATAACTACTAATCAGTAGCTTTATTCAATCGACACAATTTTAGTTCAGATAAATTTGTACTTATTTATTCCAAAAAAAAACATCTACTACTATCGTTGACGGCTGACAATTACAGTAAACCCATATTTTGTTTTCATTCGATTACAACATAGAGGTTATTAAAAAAAGTTCAAAAACCGGTAATTATTTTTTATAAAATATTCAACATTGCTGAAAAATATATTAATCGTATAAACAGTCAAAAATAGTTTTCAATGTTCGAACAAAAGTATTATTTTATGAAACTAATTGTTAGACGGTAAGCTATTGCGATTCACATAGCTGCTACCAAATTATTTTATTAATAACAAATTACTTAACACTGCAAACTAATTTACTTACCATATTTTTAGATTGGACATTAAAAATTATTTTCATTTAACCATTACGGTTACTGGGTGATTCTTTTAACGCCCTAAACTAGTTTACTCTTAAAAAAGTTGCAATTTTGTAGTGTTTCTTTTTGAAAACATTTTTATTTATGCTATAATACCATAATATAAGACAATATTCATGTTTTTCAGTATTTTCTTGGGCTTTATCTACTTATAAAACTTAAATAGTAACGTATTATATATTTGATTAACTTTTTTAATTAAGAATAAATTACTAAACATTTTGACTGGTCGTTAACCAGTTTTGAATAAATATTTTTAAAGTTTAAAATTTATATTGGAGGAAGGGTGAAGTGTATAATTATTTTTATCTGCCCACATTACTCAACCGCACTCCACCTACCTTCCTAAATTTTTGAACTTAAAATAATCCTAAGAATATTACTTAAAACTGGTTATCGACCAGTCAAACTTTTCAGTAAATTATTCTTAATTTTAATATATACGTTGCCATTAATGTTTTATAAGTTGACAGAGCTACTAAAATTTTTTAATAATGTTTAATATTACCTATACTATGACATAAATAAAAATATTTCTAAAAAGTTAACACTACAACATTGCAATTATTTTGAAAGTGTAGGGCGGTAAAGAATCACCGGTATATTAAATTAAACTAATTATTTACATGAATACAATTACCGCGGTTAGTGAACTTTTGAATACCCTATAATATGGTTAAAATACAGAAATAATTATGCTGAATATCTACGTACGAATTTCGCTTTGCCCAAAAGTACAAACAAATTTAACTAAAACAGAAAAACTTAAGTAAAAACGCGCAGTAAATCTAACGCTTTTTTTAGATTCACCGAATAATCTTTTTTCATGTTTTTGTGGAATTGCCACTGTACTTTTTGATTATTGCATTAATGATAATAATTATTATTATTATTACTTAGTATATAATATTATATACTTGTTGTTTCATTTTGTACTTTTTTATTTTAAAACAATTATTATATTTGAAATATATATATATATTTATGAGTATTTATTAAATTTCTATTATACAATGTGGTTTTACGTTGTGTAAAATGAGTAGACAACTATGTTGTATTTGTAATTGGACTATTATTATTATGGCAAACGAAATAACTGTATAATACATACTACAATTATATTATTTTTTATCAATCGTTTTGATCAAAATAACGGTTACAGTAATGTAGGTTTTATAAACCATGAACTTCTCAATTTAATCTGCTTAATCGTTGGTAAATCTTTTTTTCTTTTTTTTTCAATCTTCTCTACTTATTAAATCATTAATTCGATAAATATTATATTATTCTTTTCCCGTCTTTATCTTTCTAAAAAAACCTAATTGTACAATGTACATAAGCGGTGTAAGCTACCGTACTATTATAAATTATATTGTTTTTTTTCTATAAAAATAAATTTAAAAAAAAAATCGCTAAAAAAAAATTAATTATAATTACTAATAATATAGTGTTAATGTATCGACGATTTATTATATTATTATACATAGACAACATTTTTTTTTCGATGGTAGTTATACTAATAAATATTCGTTTTGTTTCTCACGGGACCACAATATATAATTATTATTAATTATAATTAATAATTATACGAAGATAATATTACGTGTTATTATTATTATTTTTTTTTGGTTTGCCTCCTTTATAACGTACGAGGCCATTTATATTATTATAATTATAATTGTATTGCCATCTGTATGTTTTAAACTGCCATTGACTATTTTATATTATTATGTATTGATTTTCAATTTGTATCTTATTAATTATTAACGATCGATTCTTTTTTGGTTTTTATCAAGCGAGATTTTTATCGTTAATTTTAATGTTGTAATTAAAAATACTAAAAAAAAACTCAGACACACGGGTCGCCATTAATAGTATTTGTATACAATGTACTCGAAATTATTGCACAATCCGGTAATATTTGTTTCTTTGAAATAATATCACAATATCAGTTATCTCTCGTTACTATGACTATATTTTATATTGCTACATTTGCACAGCTGTTGTGATACAACACTCGAACAATGATATTTGAATAATATTTCTCACATCAGTCGATATTGTTTATTTGTTATTTTTTTCTACACAGAACAATATTATAATTACTGGTTGGTGATATTTTGAATACTCTGTATACATATAAAAAATACAACGGATTCTTTTAGTTTTTTAGCAAACGGTTTCAATCGCTAATTATTTCAATAACAATTAAAATAACGCAAATAATACTACTAAAACACAATATTGTGTTGATGTTTGTATGATATTTTCTTCTCGCATATTATTTTCAATCGTTTCTGTTATGTTATTTTCTGAGTAATAATAATTATCGTTTATATTATTATTATTGTCTCGAAAGATGCCCAAAAATACTAAGAAAATGAAGAACAATCTGTGATAAATATCTATTAGTCCTGTATTATACATTATGATAATATTAATATTAATCTAATAAAATAAAATATTGTGTAATTAGTGTTATGCCTCTTAGACGGTGTATTTGCAGTTCCGTCGTTATTTTTTACATTTTCACCGTCGCGCCATCACTATGGCGTTTATTAAAATATAATATTATTACCTAAGTATGTATAATAGAGGACCTAAAGCCAGTAATAAGTATTATTGCTTACTGTACACTCATTAACAACCAGACTTAAATCTCTTTCTTTCTCTCTCTCTCTGTCTCTTCTTATATATAAAAAATAAACAATTAAGTATTTGTACAATTTTTTTTTATAACGCTTGGTAGTTGAAATAAATTATATCGTTATTGGTAAAAAAAAAACACCTAATAATTATTATTAATACCCATTTTTTCCTTCGATCGCGACAACCGCGTAGAATATAAGAAATAAATTTTATGTTAAAAAAACACAATGCACATTATAATATACTTGCCCAATATACAATTACTATGAAAGTATTATTGTTGAAACGAGAACAACGTTTATCGTTAATAGAGTTGCCTTATGTTTAATGACTTGTAATTTAGTCGATACAGTCATATAAACTATTTGTTTCTTTTTACCAGAATCAACGGCTAAGATAGTGACTTAAGTAAGAATAAAAAATAATAGTATTATTATCATTAAAATAAAATCGTGTGAAAACGGAGGCGGAACGGGTATAATATTACTATTTTTTTCCAATGTGATTCATTATATTATAATTCATTACTATTATACTATAATTATTACTATTATTGTTTTAGATTTTTTCTTTTAGACGGTAATATTATAATTAACACATTTCCTTTTCGTTCAGTTTTTAGATACTATCAATAAGTACTTTATTATTACTATGATATGTATAAATATATATTATATAAATATATATATATATATATATATATTTATAAATAATTTATATAATTGTACATTCTGTCTAATTATTATTATATGAGTATGAATTGTCGAATTTTTTATTTTTATTTTTTTGTTAAAAAATATATAATTATGTTGTTGTTACTTTCGACAATCCGTTTTTTTATGCTGTAAAACAAAACGCGTTTATAGTTTTATCTTGTAAAAATTATAAATAAAACCAAAAATAAATATTATGTATGGTATATATTATATTTTGTACACTTCAAATTATGACAATTTCCTTGTACATCCTATTCGTTTTAACTGTTCACTGGCATTAAAAAAACACTTTCTATAATATTATGTTAACGATTTGAATTGTTCCATTCCTTTTTCTGCCATAAAAATACATTGTTAATTATTATATTTCTTTAAGGAACCCGTGTCACTATATTATATTGAAATAATATGGTAGAATAAAATAAAACGTGAAATCGTACACATTATTTATTTATTATGAAACATAATAAAAACAATTATATCATTTTTACTTATTTATTTTTAAGCTTCGCATTAATATTACTATTAAAAAAGTGCCTTAAAAAAAATATAGTCAGATACCTTAATGAATAATGGGTAATATAACGCAATAAAGCTTCAGCTTTGTGTTAAAGCGTCAACTAAATAATAGTAAACCTAAAACCACGTACTTCGTGATAGAGCTGAATCGTTTTGGTGCCTCAAACTTAAATGGAATTTGGTTCATCTTCGCGAGAAAACGCGTTCGAGTGGTATTGCTGTCCGTACTCGCAAAATCGCTGGAAATTTGTCGATGTACCGAGCTTCACCAACGAATGGATCGCTTTGAAATGGACATTGGTAAATATCTTTTTAATGAATCCGATTAACACTTTGGCGCACAGAACGGTCGGTCGAGTGGGATTCTTCCGCGAACATTTTAATCTACAGCAGATCGGAATTTTGTATTTTCTCGCAACGTACATTAGCCTAGGTGTATTGATTTTGATTCTCAGCAACGATTCGGGCGTGTTATTGTCCAAGTGGACCTTTGATTGTTTGTCAATCATATTCAACGATGAGATTATCAGGTGCTGTAATTCGATGATGTCTCCTCCAAAGAAAGTACATTCGTAACTTGGCGATTTGGGCGACAGTCTCGCGTAGAGCTTAAATTTTTTGGGCAAGTGCAAAAAAACACACCATTGTTTGTAGGATTTGAAAAATTGTTTGACTCGACGCCCCCGTCGTTCCCATTTTATAATTTTCAACTTCTCCAAGAATTCATAATAGATCCGCAACACTATCGTGTATAACGTTCCTACAACGTGTTCGTGGAAGTCCACCAGCGACAATACGTACTGTTCAAAGGGCGTACGGCCGCTTTTGATCTCGGTAATTTTATCCTTCAGATACACGAGCAGTCGACGTCCGTTTGCGAGCACCCCGAAATCTGTCAGCAGAGTAATCGCCATTGAAGTGTTCTCGAACACGTCGTTCAAATACAGCAGGTCTAAGGTCAAATGTTCTTCGGTCAGAGGTCGAACTCCTGGTACCGGACCAGAAGTATCGCTCTCTTCTTGAAAACAGCCCACGCTGGAGTTCAGACACAGGTCGAGCCAGTGCTTACCCAAAAGTCCCTTCACCGTAGCCGAGTTTTCCGAAAAGTCGTTCCCTATCCAATTCCACCGTTTCATGTCATCCAAGTACTCAGGGAATTTGCGCTCACGCTTGGTCTTTCGGTCGAACATGGTGCAATCGTTCTTGGACATTGTGTGAAGCAGCAACTTATACATCCCATAGTGCGCGGTCTGCATGACCGGCAGAAATTCTTTGTCCGGGTCATTGGTCGCGTGTACTTCTATCCGCATTACGTACAAATACATTAGCCACGCCACGTCCATTTCGGCGTCGTTCTGGGCGACATTGAAAGCGGTTGCCAACATTTTCCTCGCCCATTCTGGATACAAGGTTTTGATGGCCTCGTTTAAACTGACTACTTGTTCAGGATAGCTCAAATTATGTGGATTCGTTAAGTGCAGATACGACAACATGTAGTACGCTTCGTTGCATTTAATTTCTTTGCCGATGGCGGCAACTTCTTTAGCCTGGTCCAATGAATTCGGAGTTTCTTGCGACTCCGCCGAGCACGATTTTCGTTTGAATTGTCCTCTGTTGAACGACTGAATATGTTCGTAAGCATTGGTCTTTTCGCTAGAAGGCCACTTGACACAGTCCGTCACGTTAACAAAGACCACTACGGTGATAATCGACACGGTCCACTTCAATATCAGCGTCATTTTCAGTATACTAACAAAACACAGCTAGAAGCAGGTAATTAAATAGGATTAATTGTTACATACGCAGAGCTACTGGATTGACTAAGAGTTTGTAAGCGCGTAAATCTTTGAAGTACAATTTGGTTTTAATTTTTAAACCATGTAAGTAAATAAACGTGGGGGTAGCAGATGTGTAAATAGTTTTTTTGGTTTTTCAGTGTACGATTTACAACTGCAACATGGCGTGTGCCGTGTATGCAAATGCGTTAAACTTTACACTTGCGACAAACATATAACCGAAAAAAAGTCTATTATGTTGTTTGTTACTTTTTAACAATGGTAATATAATAATATAGACAAACGATCAACCCTAATCGTATCCATTAGTATTAGTTTTTAATATGTTGGTAGGAAATATTATAACAACATTAATATTTCAAAAAATGCTTTCATAATACAAATGTAAAACATATACGTGAATTAATTCCAGATTTAAAATATATTATGCTTTGAAAAACATCTCAAACTATTTTTACTTTTGCTATTTGAATTTTGCCGTATTGTATTTAGCTTCGATGCGGAGCTTAGAGGTAGTTGGTTTAATTATGATGTGGGTTTTTTTGTGTCTGAGAACACTGTAACATTTTTAATACTGGATCAATTCCTTGTAGTAAATAAGACTGATCGATAACTACTCTTTTGTGTTGTAGTACATACACACTCAAAACTGGAATAATATGGAAAACATAAATAATAGTTATATTTTTTAACTGCACGTTTAATCTTGTTTTCCTATGTGTGCAAAAACACCTTCAACTTTTTTACTACTTACGCTGCGGCAGTGCCCAATAAGGCTTAAAACATTTATAATAAAACAATAAAGGAGTAAAACTGTTTTTGAGTTTGGGACTAAAGAACCGCACCACCAACCCCTCTCATTGTAAAAAAGATAAATAGTACAAATATCTAGATATTTCAAGTAAGTACATACATAGTTTGCAAGGGTATATGAATGCATGACTCTGTGTGAAATAGGGCAACATTTTATAGATACTTATTTTGCGAATGAACAATACATTCTGCCCTTTTATTTATATATATTTTTAGGATTGTTAATAAATAGTTTTCTGTTAAAGAATATAAAATTTCCTAATTAAAATAGAAGCTTAATAATACTCTAGATTAAATAGATAATTCTTATTTTGATGTTGATTCATCAGAATAAACTGAATAATCACGAATATCTGAATATGCTTAATAATCTTGAATAAACTGACTTTTATCAATTCTTATTTTAAGAAAAAAGTTTATGACTACTAGTATAAAAATCTAAATAGTTCTAGATAAATATTTAGTATGAAAAACGATATTATTGCCTTTTTTTAGGATGATTATTAAAAAAAAAAGAAACCGACATACCCAACGTAGATATAGTAATGCATAGAGTCGTATGCACGTCACTCTTATACAAGTCTCAAAGTGTTTAGTGTGCTCGTGGATTGCAAGTCCATTTTTTTTTACTGGATATTCATAATATAATATATATATATATATATATATATAATATTATTATATAAACATTTATTATTATATATTTTTTTTTATAGAAAAATCGAGTAAAACGATTTTTTCCTAACTTATTCCGAACACATTAACCAGTGGCTCAAATTTTGGTTTCCAATTAAAAATGTGTGAGGTTATATTCTGTACTCTTAATTTTCGTAATGTAAAGTGTGCTATATAATTAATGACTAATTGTGTAACCAACACATTTGACAGACTATTTTACTTGACCAATTCCTTCTATTAACAACTCTATAAATCAAAAATGTTATCTAGTTGGTACTTGGGGGATAGAGGGGGGGTTAAAGTTGAAAAATTTCTCTTCTTTACCCTTAAACTTTGTTAAAAATAAAACTATACCAGCTTTGAATATTCAACTTGTTTTACACTTCTTATTTTGCTGTTTTATGTAAAGTTTTAGGCTTTAAGGTCTAAAAATTGGACCAATGATAGATCTAAAATGTTCCTATAACATAATATACAATTTTCTCAAAAATTTGTAATCAAACTTTATTTTTATAAAGGATAAACCCCCCCAAAAAAAAGGAAAAATGACACCTTGATCTTTGAAAAAATTTTCATTATATTGTTATCATATGAGTAATATATAACGATAACAAATTATTTTATACAAACGATCAACCATAATCGTGTCCACCCTAATGCTAAAATTACAGGTTTAGGCCCATTATTGATAATAATGTTATATATGCATCATAGATACGCATCGAAGTGTTTATTTGGCAGATGTAATGTTTCAGATATGAAAATTTAACAGAATATTATGGTGTCTTTATGTGAAAAATAGTTATTCGCTATAGTTATTGGAACATAAAGGTTTTACGATCATGCAAACATTTAAATAGACACCAATACAAACATTGGTTTTCGATAAATAACAAACCGTAAAGTTTCGTACGGTATGGTTTTTAAATTTGCGTATACACACCATATACATTTTAAACATAAATTATGCAAAAATGCAATGAAAAGAACATCTGCTAAAGCCTTATTACAATAATAAGTTCTTTGGTAATCGTAAATAAAATTTTGAACAACTATGGTTTATGTATTTTTAAACAAATAACGAACAAAAAAAAAACACT